CAAAGTTAAACCCACAAACGAGAGGCATATGTATTTTTTATATTTTTAAATTTCATCTTTTTTTTTTTTCTTTTACTTTTGCTCAATAGACTCTCACTCGCACTTAAATATTAAAGGTTGGGCATGATAATACTCGCGGGTAGTATAATGCCCTAAGTCTTGCTGATCCAACGCATAGCTCTCCCGTAAGCAGCTGCTGTACTCCCAGACATCGGTGCACATTTCATTTTATACAATATACATATTTATATTTATATTTATATTATTTATATTTATATTTATATTTATATATACTTATATATAATGCAATATAATAGACAGTCCAACTCGGCGCTTTTTCTCTTGACGCAACGTTCTTTTTCTCCTCGTCGTTCTTCAACATTCGACTCGACACTACCATTCGTATGTACACGCTAACAATAAATAGGAGGCGACAAGAAAAGAATTCTCCGCGGGAAATAGATAATATTTACGGACTAAATATTAAAAAAATTAAAAAAAAAAAGAAAAAGGGAAAAACAGAATTGATCGATGAACGAGAGAGAGGATGTAGGAACATAAGAATAATCGAGATTAGGAGAATATGCCTAGGAGAAAAGGGAAGGAAGGGGAAGAGAAATAATAAGAAAAGAAAGAGAGAAAAGGAATAAACGTAAAATCAGTTTAAATGCTAACACGTTACGCTCTTTCTCTTCGTTATTGCACTACACTAAAAACGGTAACTTCAAAAGTATAACATCTCGCGTGTAAACGTTCGAAAATTATAATGAGTTTACATGCGCGAAGGAAGAATCGAAAAGGTATTTTCCCTCGTCGGTATTCATAATAATACGAAATATACCAAAAATATGATACGAAATATTCACTTAACGTAATTAATTTAAGCGAGGTTCTTCTCTATTTTTTTTCTTCGTTCTTCTTGTTTTATTTATTTATTTTTTTCTCTATCTCTTTTTCGCGGTTGCGACCTCATCGACCGTCCAATTGAACACAGAGACAAGTGTACGATGATGTCCGGGGAATACAGGAACCGTTACCCCCAGTTCCTTAACCGCAAATAATATACATTGTTACCGTATGAAGTATCCCATCGTTAGTTAAGTCTTATAGTATGGACAAGTATCCTTAGGCTAGTAGGCCCAAGGTCTGTGTGTATGTAGTTCTCGTGTTGATTATTATTTATTTATTTACTTTATTTTATTTTATTTTATTTTTTTCGTATGTGCGCTCGCGACCACGAGTCCGGCGAAATTGTCTCGAGATGTGAGAAAAAAAAAAAAAGGCAACAAGGTTTGTCGAGAGTAGAGAACTTGTTTTGAGCAGAAAATTCGCTTGATAACTTATCGTCTCGATTAAAAAAATATTACGTAAAAATATCAATAGTAAATATATATATAGATAGATAGATAGATAGAATGAACGCGATGATGAGCGCGAAATTGAAACGATTAAGGTGATAAATGCAACACGACCGAAGACATATTGACACTTCGGGATCGAAAAAAAAAATCAGAGAGAGAGAGAGAGAGAGAGAGAGAGAGAGAGAGAGAGAGAGAGAAGAATAT